TGGACGGCACTATACAAGTACCTGAAATAAATAAATATAAACATGATTGTGCACTTTCGCAATTGGAGGGTGCGCCGACACTGGAGCACTGATTCTGCTGTGACTGGACACAGCAGAAGCTGAACAACAGGTGTCGGCCAATAGGTGAGCGCTGGCACCTGTTGATGGCCGAGGAGACTGACGTAACACAGCTCTGCCTATTTAAACAAGGAAGAGCTGTTTTATGTCATTGGCAATCTGCTCGATTTTCCAGTAAATACGGCACACAGTAAACATACACTGGCTAGGCACATAATTAACACTTTGATCACCCTAGATGTTTAACCGCTTTCCCAGCCAATGACATTAATACAGTGACAGTGTATATTTTAGCACTGATCACTGTATTAGTGTCATCGATTCCCAAAAAGTGTTAGCTATTATCAGATTGTCCACTGCAATATCACAGTCCTGCTATAAGTCACTGATCGTTGCAATTACTAGTATAGGAAAAAAATTCTAATATTTACTGCCATTTGCAGACGTTATAACTAACCAATCAATATGCGCTTATTGGGTTTTCAATTTTTTTTTTAACCAAAAATATGTTGACTACATTTTGGCCTTAATTTATGTGATTGTTTTTTTTTTATTGGATAGGTTTTATAGCAGAGAAACACACACACACACACACACACACACACACACACACACACACACACACACACACACACTGCCCGAGGTCAGTAGGGGGCCCCATGAGATACCCCTGGTACCTTTTTCATAGGCTTTTTTGAGTTTGGGCAAGGACACAGGGGCCCCAGGATCCCCTATTGCCCGGGGGGGGGGGGGGGGGGTGCCCATAAGTTGTCAGTCCGTACCTGCACACACACATATATACACACACACACATTTTTATTTTTTTTAAATGTTGGGGTTTTTCCATTGATCTTTCAAAAAATAACCCAAAAAGTGACCAAATACCACTAAAAGAAAGCTCTACTTGTGGGGGGAAAAAATGACAAAAATGCAATTATGTACAACGTTGTATGACCGTTCAACTATTAAACTAACACAGTGCCGTATCACAAAAAATGGCCTGTTAATGAAGGGAAGTAAATCTTCCAGAGGTCAAGTGGTTAAAATAAAAATTTATTGATTTTATTTGGTCACAAAAGCTCAGAATCCAACTACCAGCCCTAACCCGAACAAACACCAACTGAGGCATGAGCTTTACAGACATTGGAAAATACTATGGTAATGAATTACTTAAAAACACCGAATTCCCTCTGGGTCAAGATGAAGGAGCATTCCACCATTCTCCAACCAAGTTCCCGTTTGGGATTATATCACATTACTAAAGTGGCAAATACTTGAGCTTTCAGGAATAAAAAGACAGATGTGGACAAACGCTTCTGGAATTTTGTCAAGAGCTTCCCAAAACTATGATGACACCTAGACTCTTAGTCCACTACAAAAAGTGTTCTCTCACTTCAGGCCCCACTGATTGCATCTGGTCACTAGATAAACTGCTCCTAGCAGCACATCAAAATCATCCAGCTTATTTAGCCAACTAGGGAACAGTTGCTTGTCTCAGACACTCTGACAAAAACAATATACTAGGGATTCATATTAAACTTCCAGCTCGATAGTACAGAGATGCAGAATGCCTAAGTAGGTGGAACACAAAGGTTTCTCCAAAGAGCGGGTGATGTGGATGGGTATTCCCTCTCCCATATTTGGTGGTAGTGCCCACTTATTGAATCTTTTTTTTAAACTGACCTAATGGCGAAAATTACCACCGTGAGCCTCCTACTAGGCCCTGTGTCCATTTATTGCATAAGATAACTATTTCTGCAACTGCATATAGGATAATTGATTCAACACTTTCTGAAGATAACCAAGAACTTGACCCCAAATACTGGAAAACCCCCAGACCACCACCACTTGTGGAATGAATATTGTGCGTAGATAAGCTACATCTGATGCAAGAGATCACCATCCTAAAAAAAGGATAGCTACAGTACAAAAAAAAAAAAAAATCCAACTACAAGTCTTTTGCTGACATTCCTACATATATTTTTTTTTTTCTCAATGTAGACATGTGAAGACCAGCTGAACACAGGTCATAACCACAACTAGTCTTACTGCACAGTTTCAGCTGTCCCCTCGCTCATGTGATTTATGTTCATGCTTTGTACTAATTTTCTACAACGTTCTAACATATGAACCATTCTTCGAACTGTGTCCATTTGGCATGGATGAAAAAGAGGCAATAAAAACATTTTTTGCAAAAAAAAAAAGAAAATAAAGAAAAATAGCCTGCTCAATTTATTTTTGTTTACAAGAGCTGTGGCTCAGAATTGACCTTAAAGTGATGCTAATTGATATCTTTAGGCTGTCCATACACGGCTCAGTTTTTCCTTTTTTTTTTTTTTTTTTTTTTTTTTTTTAATGAAGCCAATTCCCCCCATCCACACAGTAGGCTGTGTCACTGTATTCTGACAGTGGAGGAGTTAACTGGATTGCAGCGATCAATATATTGACTGCTCTTGAACAGGACCAGCCATAGATGGCTTCCTGCTGAACCAGCGAAATTTTGATCTACAGCCAGCCCTCGCCTCCAAAAAATAATCCATACACATCCCGACCCTCTTTTCCTAACTAACTTCTGGAAAAAAAATGTATATAATTATACAAGTTTCCAAACTAAAATCACATTGACTCAAAACCATTATAGTAGCTCTTTCTTTGCTGGTCTGGGTAAAGCATGTGGTATAACATGTGGCTTTTACAAGTCATCCTAAAGAATAGGTGCACCATAATACAATCTGCTGTTATGCCTTTTGCCATGACCTCCACCCTCTGCTTCCCACATACGCATTCTTTCCACAATCCAACAGCTGCAGGCTCTGGTGTTTGTTTACATAGAGCAGCAGTTTTTAATACCTTGTTGCGCTTGTGCATTATTGGCCCATACACTTCTTCAGGATTGTGTCCCAGGGCCAGAGACAGCCCACAGAAGTCCATAGGGCACTAATGCACAAGGCCAGGCAGTATGGACTTGCAGCACTGTATGTAAACAAACACTAGACTCCAAGGGGGGGAGGGTATAGGTCAGGGGAAGGGGGCAAAAGGGATGCGTGCACTTATCCTTTAAGAGTAAATCTAAAATGACTGAATGACAAGACAAACCCACATCACAGAAAAAAAAAAAAAAAAAACCCTCAAGCTGTTCAAACTGTTCATGCTCTTTTGAAGCAAATTTCAGATGGCTTTATAACAGCTGACCCTCAGTGGTCTGGTGGGTTACACTCATTATAATCACATAACCCTTCCTGCCATAAGGGAGGTTTTCTCACTTTTATTTATTGTAAAAAGAAAAACCCTTGATATTTAAAATATAAACTCTAGTTATGTGGCTTTATAATTATGATATAACTTGCATAAATTACTCTGTAAGTGTTTATACTTGAGGTAATTTTAATTTTTAACCAAGCTTCCATTCAAATACTGTTATAGGATTTATTTTGACTTTTTATAGGGTATTCTCTACCGAGTACCCATTAAAAAATAAACATTTCTTCAAACAGAGAAAAAAAAAAAAAAAAAAAAAAAAAAAAAAGCTCAAAAACTATGGTCAATTGCAGTGCCGCAAAGGAACAATCGCGTACAGTCCACTTTTTTTTTCTTTTTTTTTTTTTTGGACCAAGGTATAATTTTTCAAGCTTATGGGGTATGTCCCCTTCTTCAAGGTCTAAGCGGTACTAAAGCAAAAAGTTTTAGCAGAGTGTTAAAAGGGCAAAAAGCTGACAAATATACACAGCAATGGTAATTAAGCTTGGATAGCTGGTGAGAAGGCAGGGTGAGAGCTTTGGAAATGCATTATACAGCTACACCTCCAGTAATGTGTATCTCATTCAATGCAAACATGTAACCAAGGATCTCATGTTGGTGAGATAAGCACAAAATTAATTTGCGCAGACATACCATAAATGAGAAAGATGATTTCTGCACACCTGTAGGACATTTCTCACAACCAGCCCACACTATCGACAACCTGAATGCTTTGGTTCTTAAAAGAGACTGTCAAACACTACTCTGGAAAGGAAAACGTTTAAGCTAAGAAAGAGTATTCTATTTGACATAAAAGATCATGATCTGAATGTAGACCTCAACTTCCTAAATCATTGTTCAACATTTTTATGACCATTCTCACCTCTGACTTCTCTACCATCTCTGAACCCCCCCCAATAGCATAGCTCTCTCCTTGCCTTATCTCGCCAGCAATGGAAGCTTAATTACTATTTGCTGTGTACATTTGTGGAATTTTTTTCTCTTAGAGATTGACTTTTTAACAATCTGCTAAAACTTTGTGCTTTAGTACCGCTTGGACCTCGAAGAAGGGGGCACACCCTGAAAGCTTGTCCTGAAAAATTGTACGTTAGTGCAAATTAAAAAAAATAAATATATATAATGAACAGTACTCAATTGTTTCTAACGCAAGTGCACAAATACGGCTACAATCACCTCAAGTAAATACCGCAAAGAAAAGATAAAAGACTAATGTTAATGAATGGGGTGGTACTCTCCATAATGGAAGTGGTTAAAAACGATGATCTACCACTACCTACCATCACTTACCTTTTGTGTCCTTCAGAGAGAGTTCAAATCCACTCGGATAATTTCACAAAGCAGGCATTTCCTAGAAAGAGTGATTTCTTCAGGCTTTTTACGTGGGATGATGAAGGCATGCACTAAAACCCCAACCTGATATGCTAACCAGCCAGGCAGCAGGGTTAATGCATGGCAAGGTTAGGAATGGAGTTGTCAGCCCCGAATTCTATAGCAGGGGAGGGGACATATAAATTCATAAAAAGCTATAAAGGGAACCTCACACATCCCTCAAAAATGAAAAGAGCTCCAGCCTCTGCTCAAGAACTGTGCAAGACTTACTAACCACCCAACTACTGCCAAATTACATTTTTAGTAAGAGAGTTAATATTACTGCCATCACTTACCAAATTGGCTAAAAGAAAAGTCTTGTTGACCACCAGGTTTACCAAGATCCTGAGCTGTCTGCCCTGGAGCTGTAGAGTATGCCAGTGGCGCTGCTCCAGGAGTACCAGGTGGAGGTGGAACACCTGAAGTGACATACTGATCAGGGGGAGGAGGTGGAGGTCCATAGCCATAACCTGTAAATGACATAGAAAAACATTCACACAATAGGTTAACTTGACAAGTAGAAAATCTTACTGAATTTTATAAAACAGAATGCAAACATTATAATTTACCATATGGAGGGGGTGTTGCATAACCTGGTGGGAAACCTTGATGTGCAGGAAAACTTCCTGGAGGTGAGGACACTAGGAAGGGGGTAAAGGGTGGAGGTGGAGGAGCACCCCGGCCAGCAGGAGGCCCGTACCCGCCTGTGGAGAAGACTGCATTAGGAAGAACCAAAAGAGGTAGGAGAGAATGAAGTGATCTGCCCAAGTTACAAAAAAATAACAAAGATTAAAAGGGAATTACTTACCAATAGTCTGTCCTGCTGGCATCCACATGCCTAGAGAAAAAACAATTCTAAAGTCAGCAAGTAAAAAAAAGAATTGTGTGTATTGATTTGCAATTTTTCCAGAGGATAAATGGAGATTATGTCAGTCTGTTGCTCAAATATTTTAAGTTACTCGAAAGTGTGTATTTTTCAATGGCTGTACACATTTGTGACTAAATGTCGCAATTTTCCTTATTTGTGGACACTATATTGAGCAAAACATATTGCTTTACTATCTTTTGATAGTTAGAGATTAAATCTGCATAAACTGTCATTAGTGAACAGAGAATTTAAGGAGTTACCTTTTGTGTAGCGAAAAGTGGGGGGGTAATACTATGATCACTGGGGAGCATTAAGGCAAAATAGATTATCATGAATGGCTGTGACATGGGGAATTTAACAAAACCAAGAAACCGCTAAATAAACAAGTGCCAGAACCACTAAAAAGGAAGTTTTTTTTTTTTTCAAAGTGGTTCTAAAGGCTGAAGGTTTTTTTTTCTTTTTTCTTACCTTGATGTATTCTCTGCATTAAAACATGTCTGGGATTACTTACCCAGGTGGATGCAGCATCATTCTGCTGCGGCATCTGTCCCCCGCCGGCTCTAAGTGTGAGAACTCAGCAATCACATGACCGAGTCCCCACACCTGCTCTGAACAGAGAGCAGAGCCTGGCTCAGGCTCTCAGTGGCTCATTGAGAGGCTGAGTCAGGTACTGCTCCAGACTCTGGGGTGGATCCCGACTTTAAAGCTATGATTTTTCCCCAGCTTGGACAACCTGAGTGACGTCAAACAGCAGGCTTCAGCTGTCAGGCTGCTGTCAGCTGAAAACGGGTCACAGGAGTGCAGAATGAACTGCATTCTTGTGATCCACAGAAGTACAGCCACCAGAGCGTTGGCTGTATTTCTCCTTTAAGGTTAAAAAAAAAAAAAAAAAACAACTTTCAATATGCAGCTCCCCACCCCCCACTGGCTTCAGCAGGGCTGAGCTGCACTCTGTGTCTAGGGAGCCAGCTCGGTAGCGAGCCTGTATGAGTGCCCCCATAGGAAGCAGCTTACTGTGGTGGGCACTCAGCAGGGGGGAGGAACCAAGATCTCCTACAGGGAATCCCAGAAGATGACGACTAAAGACTGCTCTGAGCAAAACCACTGCACACAGCAGGTAAGTATAACATGGTTGCTATTTAAATAAATGAAAAAAAAAATGGCTTTACAATTTTTTTTTTACAATCATAAATTCGACAGACAGTTCATTTAAAAACAGAGAAGTTGATTTAAATTAAGTACTGATATTTCCACAAACATTACAGCAACTTCTGTTACTTTACAACAATATGCAACATGATTTTTATTTTTACAAGCTACTAATGCCTCCAAAAGTCTCACCTTGTGGACTGTAACTCTGTGGCCATGTGGGAGGAGGTTGACCTGTCCATCCATTGGCTGTGCTGGGCACGACCCTATTACCCCACTGATTGGATCCTCCAGGTCCAGGAGTTTGGCTTTTACTGTCACGAGGCTCTGCACGTTTCACTTCCACCTAAACAAAGACAGAGATTGGTCAAAAATAGTTCCATAGTCCCTGCCCTCTCCCCCTTCTGCTGTGCCCCAAATTGTACTTACAACTAAACTTATCATAATACTACTATAATTCTATAAATAAAGGTCTACATAAGGGTCAGTGAAATACTTGACAGGCACAATATATGGCTTTATAAGGATTATTAATTCTGTGTACTAGGGGTTCTTATCACTATGAAAAGCAAGGAAGCAGAACTTGAGTCCAGTTTGAAGAGTCCTGTGGATGCAGGACAATGCCAGGGGGAATAAAAAGGACGGGTATACTTCAAATGAACTGAAGTCTAAACTTCGTTCACAAGCAAGAATCACAAAACAGGACGGGACTGGAATGCTGCTAGGGAGGCTGGTGATTGGCTGTATCAGAAAGAGCTAATGGAAGATAAAGACTTACCTTCCCCAGGCTAACGCTTTAAGAATCTCAATTTAATTAACTTGCAAATAATGTCAGAGGGAATGGATGTGGTAAGAGAATCTTACACTATATCTAACAAAAAAGTAAACAAAACATGCAAGTAATACAAAATGGACAGTTTGGTCAATAAGAAGCATATTCTTCATACTGTGTTGTTAAGTTATCAGACTGTAACTGCTTTTTTTGCCCTATACCCCAAACTGTTTGGCCTCTGATGATAAAACAAAACAAAAAAAACCACACAACAGGTGACAGGTGGCAGACAATTTACAAACTGAATGCTTAGAATTTTGCTCTGACAGCCATTTGCCATCACTTCCTTGAAATATTGTGATAATTATATTAAAGCATTATTAAACCCAAAAAACGAAAAAAGAAAAAACATACTGCAGCCCAAAGATTCGTAGATGTAGCAGTGGCAATATTATTCTTTAAGGCTTTTCCCCCCCCTTTATTTTCACCTGGTGATATTGCCAGTAAGTTTCTTTTTCAGCTTCCTTTAACAGACCAAGCTGTCCAGCAAAAATTGGCAGTTAGAGATTTAAGACAAACCCTTTATCATTGACAGGGGTGCATGGTCAGCTTTTAATTATTCATACAACACCATATCTTAAGGCCTCATGCACACTGGATGTTATAAAAACACCAGTAGCGTTAGCTGTAGAATGTCGAGGTAAAAATGTGAGTTTTGTCACTTTTTTTTTTTTTTTTTGCATTTCTGCATTAGCATTTTTCAGCCTTTAAGTTTTTTTTAGCAAAACTATACACCTGCGAAAGCTTGGAGATCAAAGATGCTCAAACGCCAGATAGCCTCAATTTTCAGTGTTAGAGTGCTTTTACAGTTGAAAAACGCAGTAGTTCTGGGGGGGGGGGGGTTTCCAGCCTGAAAACACCCCTGTCAAACCACACTGATAAAAGCCTGTGTGTGCACGGACACATAGGACAACAGCAGTTGTAAAAACACCCCAGTGTGCATGAGGTCTAAAAGTTTAAAAAAAAAAAAAAAAAAAAAACCCTGTTGCTGTAACTGCATGAAATGTGTTAGCTGGCATTCAGCTTTAAATTGTTAGTCAAACCCATTTGTATCTTCTATTGCATGTAACACTACCCTCTCCCCTGGTTGAGTGTGTTACTGACCAGATCACCAGGCAAATATAAACAGGAAAAAAAAAAAAAAAAAAAAAAACTTAACAGAAAACTAATGCAGCTGCCACATTTAAGAAGGGCTAAGCAGCAATATATGATTTTTTTTTTTTTTTTTGGTGTAATAGTGCTTAAAATTGCCATACAGCATATGCATCTATATACAGATATACATACACACAAAGTATACAGTCATGGACAAATTTGTTGGTACCCTTACAGCTCATTAAAACACTGCTTTATTCCTCCTGAAAAGTGATTAAATTAAAAGCAACAGTCTCATATACACTGCATGCCTAGGTACAGTATGTCACAGTAAAGCAAAATGTGAAGAGAAATTCTTGCTTATTCTATAAAGATATTCAATATGGTCTGGACAGATTTGTTATATTTGTTGGTCCCAAAGAAGAGACAATTGGATCATTAGCAGTATTGCAAATTACTGCATGCTTTCTGTAATTAATATCACCTATCTTCAGTCTAGTAATCAGTCATCTTATTTAAATGGAGAAAAGTAGTCACAGTTTGGTATCATTGTGTGCAACACACTGAAGAAAGCAAAAAGGAAAAAATACTTTGAGATCTTTCAAAACTTCCAAAAGAGATGCAAGCTGAACTCCAAGGTACATCAGGGTCTGACTGCAATATCCGTCGCTTATTATGTAATAGTGGGCTTAAAGAAAGGTGATCAAGGAGGACTCCATTGTTGTGAGACAAAACTGGAGCTTTGGAGCTTTTTGGTGAGTTTCATCAGCTCTATGTGCACAGATTAACTTTAATGGAAAGAACATTATACCTTTTGTGTAACAAGGAGGTGGCTCAGTTAGATTTACTGTATCTGGCGCAGGGCATCTCAAATCTGTGCAGGGCTCAAAAAAATCTCAACACCATCAAGGAATTCTGGAGTGAAATGTACCCACTGTTGTTTGATTGGTCTCAGTCAGAAATCACGGATCATCCAACAGGATAATGACCCAAAAACGGTACAAACAAAAACAATGAACTTCTCTGAGGTTGCCTGGATTTGAACCCTGATGAGCATCTATGGAAAGAGCTGAACCATATGGTTTGGAAGAGGCACCCATCAAACCTAAGACAGCTGTGAGCAGTTTGCTCAAGAAGAGTGGTCCAAACTACTTTTGAGCATGTGCAGAAGTTTAATGGAGAGCTACAGGAATCACCTGTTTGTAGGGATTGCCTCTAAAGGGTTGCAGAATGACGTATCAGTTTGTGGGTCTCATTTTTGTCCATGCCATTTTCATTGGCAAGCAATGTCTGATTTTTTTTTTTTGTTATATGGGACAATGAATGGTGGATGCGAATTACTTTTGTTAATTTCAAGTCATTTCAAAGAAAACAGTGGGTTCTTTTAGTGAGGAGGTGCACCAAGAAATTAGTCCATAGCTGTATCTTAAAAACAGATCAATATAGTCACTCCCAAAATGAATCCCAACTGCACAACAATGATGATCTGATGACATTTTTGTTTACTGTGCAAGCATCAAATGCTCGCTAAGTGAACACAAAGACCATCAATTTTTTTTTTTTTTTTCAATTGCAAATCTTTTAAAAAGTCACTTGTGTGCCAATTTGTGTTCTCATCAACCTGATTTAATCTTATCTTAAAGTATTGCTAAGTTACACAAACCATTTTCCCCCCTGAACACATTGCTGCGTAGTGTTGAAAGTGGAATAAGTGCTGGTTCACATATATGCGGATTGGATGCTGTTTGAACCACTTCCAATCTGCATGACATGTGAAATAATATTGCTTCCTATGGTGCCTGTTCACTAGTGGTGTAGCTTCAGTGCGGTTTAGAAAAAACAAAAAAACAAAGTCCTGTTCGGAGTAGTGCAGTCCGGTTCAAGTGTGGATTACAGGCTAATGACTTCTATGGAAACTGTTTATAAACCGCACATGTGTGAATAGGATAAAACCTGATGTTCAGCGGTTCATGTCAGGTTTACAACTACTGTATCAATTAGCTGTGAAACCTGAGCTTCAATCTGCACGGCACCTGTGTGAATCAAGCTCACCAAAGTAAAACGCATGTGTTTATATTGCACTTTACTGTTATGTATCCAAGTTTTTTTCCCCCAATATATTAGGGTGGACTACAAAACGCTAAAAAAAAACATATAATAGGAGGAAGTGAGACATCGAAAAAAATAAAAAAAGGCTGGGGGACTCAAAGGGATTTAGGGAGAGAATGCCCTGGGGACTAAAGTGGTTACAAATAGTTATCAGTGAAGGTTAACTGGACTTAAAGCAACCAAGAGCGGATTTAAGCAAAGAGGGCAGATAAGTGTCTCTAGCCTTTATTCCCGTTCAACCAACTGCCAAGACCTTCTGAGGATGTCAGAGGTAGCCTCCAATTCTTGTGGGGTAATACACTGTATAAACGATGCAAGAGCCAAATACCACACCTAGATCTGCGGCTCATAAAATGGCCTTGTTACAACAGTGTACTGTTAAAGAGTCTCCATTCCATTCTCAGGGTTATTGTGGAAAATGCTAGAAACAAGCTTTCAAACTCACGCTTTCCTCCACCTACAATGTTAATTCTCATTTTTCTGAAATCACTTTTTCATTTTAAATAAAACTAAAGCAGGACATGAATAGGCTAAACTGTAACTAGTAAATTAAACTGCAGCCAGATTACACTAGACCGATGCACACGTGCAAGCTGTACTGCCAAAAAAAACACTCACAAGCAGAGCCCTCCTAGTCGTCTTGTAACAGTGCGGTCTACCTTTATTTTATAAAGCACTGTGCAAACTGTTGGCACAAAGTGTTGGATCCAAACTATTAACCTATTTCCAACAGCGAACCCACAGTGCACGAGGTCACCCTACAGTATTTCATAGACCTGACAACACAGTATGAACAGATCACTTTACTGCAGAATGGTTAAACTACTGAGAACATGGCATTTGTACCAAAGATTCACAGTAAGTGACCAAGTAATGAAACAATAACAGCAACCAGTCCTTCATGATGTCTAAAAAAATGAAAAGGTATACATAACACCAGCACTTCCCAGTCCTTAAACTCCCAACTTCATTTAAAATTTCAAATGAAAAATGACATCAGAAGGAGTGGCAGTAAACCAAACCTTAAGCAGTAGAGATGTCCTTGGGGGCCAAACAAAATGTCTAGGACACTGCAATCAAACAATAGTAACAAGAATAAAATGGACACCCACTGAACCTGAACAACCAAGTTTACTATCCTTAACTTTCTGTCAGAAACATGTATATCCCACCATCCCTATACCTCACGCTACTGGCCGTTCACCAAGGACATTGACTGCTACCCAAGGCTTAGTTCAGTCTTAAGGTAAAATAAAACTACAACTACACACTTTTTTGCCCATGATGTCGTGAAAATGCATGTTGACAGCCTGGTCCACTGATTGTTCGTCCTCGAAAGTTATAAATCCAAAACCTAGCCAACGACGAAGAGTGAATCAAGGTAGCAGGGTGTTGTGACACAAAACAGGATGATGAACAGTATTAGGAGCAGAACCAAGGCTGTAGCAGCAGGATCACAGAAAAGCAACTGCAGCAATTCCTTTTGTACCTAATGTTCAGCATGTAGCAGAGAACAAAACTGTACTGCATAATTAAAAAACAAAGTACTTGCATTCTATCTACTACGCTGAATGTTTGCACTGATTTGGCAAGGAATACAAGCTGTGAGGTTGCTTTACAGACCTGATGCTTCCGCCGTGGTGGCATTTTGCTTTGCAGCTAGTGCTGACAGCAGCCATATATTGTTCTAAAGCGTTAAACAGAGATACAATATCTATAACAGCTAAGAACTCTCAAAGCTTTTCCAACAAAGTTGAGAAAGCCCAGAGTATGTATTGGAGAGAAAGCTATGTGAATCCACAAAGATACAGGCCAAGCTGAGATGCAGCAGGACAAAACCTGCTGTCAGCAGCAAGAGCAAAAGACATGAAAATAATTCTAAAAAACAGAAGATTGCAATTCCCACACTACTTGATATGAAGTGTAAATGAAACATCGGCAGTGCTGCAGTGATACACCCTGTCACACGCCTATCATTGCAAAAAGCAAGAGAAAGCAAAGGCTTAAATCAGCAAGTGCTTCAACCTTTACTAGCATGTTCTTATTTCCAAATTCTAAAATATTGAGCGCCAACTACATCTTTATTGCTCTTTACCAATTATAGTAAGCAGTGATATTTTCATCTTATTTGCGGAGATCTGAAACTACTGGAATTGGCAATTAACCTTTAACTTGATGTAGAGAGAAGGCACCTTAAAAGGGTAACCCAACCTTTATGGCTAGTCTAAGCCTAGAGAGCAAAAGTATATAGCAAAAACATTTTATAACTATTTTACCTCAAAGTGCTTGTATATGTTTTTTTTATAGAAAACCTGTGCTTTGCTATTTAGGGCAAAATAAACAGGTCTTCTTAAAATTCCCTCGCAAGCAGCATGTACTTACCTTTCTTTCGCTACCCTATTGTACCATGGGACAATTCATTTACACTGTCACAGGGTAGAAAGTCTATAAGCCCTATCTAAGCTACAAATCCTGCAATTTGTATCTTGCACAGGGCTTTCCTTCCACTCCCCACAGCTGAATGGAGCTGCATGGAAGGACTGCATTAAAGTGAACCTGCTGCCCTGCAGGTTTACTTTAAAGCCTCACTGCAGCTAAATGATCTCTTTTTAGTGTTGGATAGGGTAGGCAAGATTTACCATTTTTGTTTGGTTCTTCTGTCTGTGTGCCCACACACTGTCTTATGTCAACACCGACATAAGCAATAGGGGGTACAGTCATCAACGGGATAGGGAGAGCACAGAGTTTTGGCTGGAGATAGGCTCTAAGGTATCTTCTCTGTCTAATTGAAAATATTCAAACTTTTCTTGTTGCCATGTACTGTTGAACTGCAACAACAATGCAATGCTGCGTTTATATGCATATTCCATAGTTACCCCTGTAGACAACTAAACCAATGGCATCAAGAAAATTTTGAACACTTATAAGAAGAGAACAACTGATACTTTAAAGACATAAATCAGGCAAATTATGCTACTTTTACTTTGAACTGACTGTCTCAGTTTTAATGTCAAAGTTGGAGTTTGAGTAAGATTTTAATAGAAGCCAAAAAAAAAATTGTTGGTAACTGCAAAATGTGAGTATAAAGGACAGTGCCCAGGTGTTGCAGGTAAGCCAAAGGAAGCTTTCTCAACAGACCTGAGATGCATTTACAAATGAGAGGCTAATGTTAGAACTACAACCAGTGTGTATGCAAAAATTCTAGCAAAATTTCCATTCTGCGCACATCAATTCCTGCTAAATAAGGGATATGCCTCTTCAGCCAGTATACTCAGCTTGCAGTTAAAGTATATTAGCCAACAAAACCTGGTGCAGTTTCAAGAAAATATGCTCCTTAGTAAAGAAAGATCTGCAAGAGAGACAATTAAAGACAAATAATTGTCCTAAAATGCTGATCTTAAAAAAAAAAACAAAAAAAATGAAAAAAAAAAACAAAAAACCTTACACATGGTACACAAGAGTGCATTAGCACTACAGGAGCTTAATAATATGTAGGGTTTTTTTTTCGGTATACCTAACCATATTGCAGTGCATCTACTAGTTTAAAGCTTTGCTGCAAGATAGACAGTTCAGTGTACTAATAAAGTACCGTAAAAACAGTAGCTTTGCACCGTTAAATTTTACAACGACAAGAGACAAGATCTGAACACTGCCATGGAATTTAACTGTTCCATTTGATTTTCATAAATGTACCACAGAGGTGTGGCTAACCCTCTAAGTAGGCACACTTCATTTACACCCCAAAGTTATAGCACCCATCCCTTAGCTAACTAAATTGGCCTGTACCTGAGTGATAGAGCTTAAAACACCTAGAGAAAAAAAAGAGCTAAAGAGATAACATTAATCACAGTCAAACAAACAAAACAGACAACTTAACAATACTTTACTGTAACTTAAATGAGTGAGAATGTAAAATGAGAAACACTATAACTTAGCTTAAAATGCAAAGAGCATTCTACTATATCCATAACTTGACAATGAAATGGACAGGAGGACATTCAGATGGCAAACTATTTTGACACTATGTATGGAACAGGCAATGAATGTTCTGCAGCCAGAACCAGCATGTGACCTGGGCTCAGGAGAGGAACACTGAGTAGTATAACAAAGAGCAGACATCAACAGGACAGAAATTATGTTCCTGCACACAATGCAGAACACATGGGATTCTGATTGGTGCACTGGCACTATTTCAGAAGTGCCATCCATATGTAACAAAGGAAAAGCAAATATGGCAGCTTGAAAAGAAATACAAGTGGAAAATGTCAAAATGTCCAAGACAAACGTCACAGCTTGCAAATGACCCAAACTGCATCCTGCAGCAAGAGAGGGGCTGCTGCTCAAAGTTTTGGATTTCAGGATTTTCTTATTTTCAGCTCAATTTACAAATGCTGTCAGTTTGTACACTATAGTAACACATCTCCAGTGCAAAATGGAGCATGGATTAAACCCCAGGAAGGTGAAGACAGGAATGTGTGAAGTTCTGTTATTTGTAAAATTGTTTGCCATCTAAATGAAAAGAATGATGAAAAAGACTGCAGAATAAAATGGATCAGCCTTTATTTACCTCTGGGCCTCTGTTTTTCAGCATCATAAATCATCACAACCTCAGTCACCTATGAAGAGAAGAAAGAAAATTGTACTTCTTTTTGAAACACAACTTAAGAAAAAAAAAAACAAACAAACCTTCAGCCCAAACAAAGGCATAGGAAGACTAACTAAAATACCTTTGTCCTTAGTAAATATTTTATTTTTATATTGCAAAAAAAATACAAAGCAGCATGTGCTTGCTGACAGGAGAGAGACCTGTGTTTACACACAAGTCTCTCTGTCAGCTTTCCCTGAGGATCACCAACTGCTGGCGGGAAATCGCTGGCCAGGAGCCAATGATTGACATCTCTAGTTGCCAATGGCGGCGCGGATAGGGCGGCGCACACCCCCTACCTGGGAATGCAAATCATGTATATATACACACACAAGATTTTGCGCAGTCCTGCCGCCCTGTAGCAGTACTTCTACTATAGGGTGGCAGGCAAGCGGTTCAAGTACAGCAGGGGTCCTTAAACTTTTTAAACAGGGGGCCAGTTCACAGACTTTCACACAGTTGGGGGGGCGGACTATAGTTTGAAAAAAAATATGAACAAATTTCTATGCGCACCGCATATATCTTGTTTGTAGTGCAAAAAAAAAAAGAAAAAAAAAATTTAAAAATGCACTGTACACTAATGCACTGGACACCGGGACGCCGTAACGCACTGGACACCGACACACCTGACACCGTAACGCACTGGACACCAAACTGCGCTAATGCACTGGACACCACAATGCGCTGTACACGGACACACCGCAATACACTGTACCTGTTGCTCCTCTGGCTGCAGCAGGTGAAATCAGGGGCTTCCAGGCTGCCGCTCGCTGGGTCCTCGAGGTCGAGGACCCAGTGAGCAGCCTAGCTATTTGCAGATCCGTTTTTTTTTTTTTTGTTTTTCCTTTGCTAGCTGGCCCGGCGGGCTGGATAAATGGCTTTGGCAGGCCGTATCCAGCCCGCGGGCCGTAGTTTGAGGACCCCTGAAGTACAAAGATCTTATACTAAATTCAGAATAAAGAAGGTATAAAGTTAAACTGCAAGAATCAAGCAAGGTATTGTTTCAATATAGTCAGCATACCATGTGCAAAAATGTTAAATAAAACTCTTTACATTTTGTTCCAGCCTAGAGGTTACATAGTGGTGAATTCTGTTCATGGCAAAGGCTACAAGAGAGTTGGAAGTACATCCGCATGACAGTTGGCACTGCTCTGCACTTTCAACTGATATAGAACCAGAAGATAATACAGGTCTACAGAAGGTGACATATGGTTGACAATGCAGCTGCCCTACTGAATGGTAGCGTGTGAAAGTGCTGTCACCCCACCTTCATTACCTATGCCTAAGGGAACAGTAAGATTAAGCAGATTACTACTGCTAAGTTAGAAAAGACTATGCAAACAAACTTTAAAAAGGGACATGAGGAAGCATTTAAGGTTCTGGGTTGACATGCACTTTAAGGGATTCTCATGTTTTCATTTGCAGCGCTCTAATGCAAATTAAAGAACATGAAAAGGTAAAGGGCATATTTCAAGAGAGATTGAATTTACTACATAAAGTTTAATTTACTTTCTTTGTAATGCAGAAAAATGAATATGGAGCCAGCTAGATTTGGTGTGGAAATATTAACTGGAAGCAGTACCATTGGTGTCCATGTCCCCCTCTTTTCCATTTATTTTTATTACATAGAACTTACCTTTCCCCCAAAAGATTGTTTACATTTGGAAACAATGTACATCTGGCTACATGCCCGCGATGTGAGGATCAGACTGGTGAGCTCATCCACATGGTCTGGAGATACCCCAAACTAAATAGGTATTCGTTAGATATTCTTGCTAGCATAAATTCTGTTTGGGGTGTTCTTGGGACTGGATTCTAAATTATGTATGTTGGGCTATATGGACGGGGGGGCCTTGTTAGGTAATACATAAATCGGTTTACTTAGGTGTTTATTCCAGGCTTGGTAGCTTACTGCAAACGAAATTGTTGGCATAGGACAGCAATGGGCAAACTACGGCCCGGCGGACCTTTTAATCCAGCCCGCGGAGCTAGGCTCCTCTCACAGTCCGCCCTGAAGACCGGTGTAGCATGAAAATCTGTCTCCTATGAGGATCTGTCCCCCTCGACGTATCTGCGCATGTGCCGGAGATCGCCGATCGGCTGCTAATGCCTGAAACTGGCACATGCGCAGATACGTCGAGGGGGACAGATCCTCATAGGAGACAGATTTTCATGCTACACCGCAACGGCGCGGGAACACGGCGAGAGGAACGCGCGGAGCAAAGGTAAGTGAATTGACACAGGGGGGACTTAATATGGGGGACGAATTAATATGGGGAACGAATAACTATATGGGGGATGAATTGCTATATGGGGGATGAATTGCTATATGGGGGATGAATTACTATGCTTACTATGGGGGAATATTACCATACTTACTATGGATGACACATACACATCATTCATCTACTCTTGGTCCGGCCCCCGGGTCCAATATATGAACCCATTGCGGCCCTCAAGTCAAAAAGTTTGCCCACCCCTGGCATAGGACCATCCAACAAGTATAGAATGGGTTAAAAAAGTAAAAAAAAAAAAAAAAAAAAAGACTAAGTGAAAAGGTTTGTCTACACGAAAAGGAGGCGTCTTAAGAAATTTGAAAAAATATGGGGACTGTGGGTGGATACTATGGAATTGACCTCTGAGAGGGTGGCGAACAGAGTGTTAGAATCATTATAAAATGTGGAAATTGGGAAATTAATGTGCATTTTATATTTGGGCACATGGCCTAATTGGTTTTAAGAATATAGGCAAGAGCATGATACACAATGTATGTATGGGAAAGGGGGAGTTATATGTTATTTGTAAGTATGGAATATATGCATGTAGATCTAAATTAAAAAAAACTTTCAATAAAAATTTGATGCCAAAAAAAAAAAAAAAAATTTGGTTACGATGATGCTCTGTATATCAAAAACAGATTTGTACGGTTCACACCAGGCACAATGGCTAGAAGGTTTTAGTGCACCAAAAATAAAATTTGGGTAGAAGAGGAAATAAACCTAACGTTTTCTGTTGTACGAAACAAAATCAAACACTATGTATATACTCGAGTATAAGCCGACCCGAATATAAGCCGAGGTACCTAATTTTACCACAAAAAACTGGGAAAAAAACTATTGACTCGAGTATAAGCCGAGGGTGGGAACACCAGTGGGAAGAATCGTGCCTCATCATTGGTGTCAGTGGGAGGAATAGTGCCCCATCATTGGTGTCAGTGGGAGGAATAGCGCCCCATCATTGGTGTCAGTGGGAGGAATAGCGCCCCATCATTGGTGTCAGTGGGAGGAATAGCGCCCCATCATTGGTGTCAGTGGGAGGAATAGCGCCCCATCATTGGTGTCAGTGGGAGGAATAGCGCCCCATCATTGGTGTCAGTGGGAGGAATAGCGCCCCATCATTGGTGTCAGTGGGAGGAATAGTGCCCCATCATTGGTATCAGTGGCAGGAATAGTGCCCCATCATTAGTATCAGTGGGGGGAATAGCACCCCATTATTGACGTCAGTGGAATAGTGTCCCATCTTTGGTGTCAGTGGGAGGAATAGTGTCCCATCATTGGTGTCAGTGGGAGGAATAGTATCCCATCATTTGTGTCAGTGGGGGGGTGGAGGAATAGTGCCCCATCGTTGGTGTCATTGGGGGGGAGGAAAAGTGCCCCATCGTTGGTGTCAGTGGGGGGGAGGAATAGTATCCCATGATTGGTGTCAGTGGGGGGGAGGAATAGTGCTCCATGATTGGTGTCAGTGGGGGGTGGAATAGTGCCCCATCATTGGTGTCAGTGGGGGGGGAGGGAGGAATAGTGCCCAATCGTTGGTGTCAGTGGGGGGGAGGAAAAGTGCCCCATCGTTGGTGTCAGTGGGAGGAATAATGCCCCATCATTGGTATCAGTGACACCAATGATGGGGCACTATTCCTCCCACTGACACTTGCTGACCCCTGTTCCAGTATGGTGCTGCTGCAGCCAGCATATGTGGTTGCAGCAGCAGCACCTAAGCACGGCACACTTACCTGCATCTCCTTCACTCGATTTTCGCGGGGCCGCTCAGCTCCGCCTCCTCGCCGGTGATTGGCCGCCTGTGTGCCTTTCCTGAGCTACAGTTCTGGCGGCCAATCACCGGTGAGAAGGCGGAGCCGAGCAGCCGCGCGAACATCCAGTGGATGAATGAATGAAGGAGCAGCCGCGCTTCCTGGACCGGATCGTCGTGGGAACGGAGCCAGGTAAGAGACAGCAGCCCCCTGCAGACGTTGACTTGAGTATAAGCCGAGGGGGCCGTTTTTCAGCACAAAAAATGTGCTGAAAAACTCGGCTTATACTCGAGTATATACGGTACTCTATATACACCTGCAACCTCTAAAAACTAAAAAGTAAAAGTATCTTGGTTTTATGGTTGTAAAAAGATATGAAAAAACATCAGTTTCATATACATGTATTCATTTTAATTGACATTTAGCAAACCCACAAAAATGATGCTATACAACAAAAATATTGCACTTTGTTACACTGAAACACTTGACAAGGATCTTCATTTTCTACAACAAAAGCAGGGTAAGTGAAAAACAGAATTTTTGACTTCTCTGTGAAATCAATTTCTTGGTGTACAGTACATGACACAGGCAGAATCAGAGACACATAGGTTAAAGCAGGTACCTTCAGGTGACTGAACACTACTCCTAGCAATCCTTAGTTCTGCAGCAAACAATCAAGACCGATCACAAAGGCCTGTGTCCTGCACTATATTCCAAAATATGGATTTCACAGGCAAGTCAAATGTCCCATTTTCTTGATCATACAGTACAGGACACAGGCAGATTCAGATTATTACAGATTAAAAAATACTGAGGGGAGGGTAGCACTTCAACAAAATCAGCCAATATACCCCCTTCACAAAAAACAAAAAAAGGGCCTAAGTAAAACTTAGTGCCTTAAGGCTGCACACAAGTTTTTAATCCTGCTTGATACTTTAGCTCATATGCTTTAAGTATGCTACATTGGCGGAGGTGGGTGAAATATTGGTAGTCATTTCTGCTTCTCCAGAGCCTAACTTTTGTGACATATAAAATATGCTGCTCTACAGATGGGGGGGGGGTGGGGATGGGGAAGGGAGGGAGTGTTCAGGGGTGGTGTGGTCCTGCGTGACCTCGAACCATCAGGTGTTTCAATATTGTGCAAATTTATGCTCGTCACATTTTTTTTTTTTTTCTTTAAATCACACAAATGTCACTTTGTACTACTTTCTACAAAATTAATAAAAAACAGAATATGGCAGAAAAACTTTGCTTCAGATACTTAAAAAAAAAACACCACTGACAAAACCAAACTGAGGTCCCAGTATGCCAGACGCCTCACTATGTCCAAGTACCACTTCCTCTTGGGACAGTTATATAAAATGAGGACAACTGGAATGTCCTTCATGAGCAAAGCAAATGAAAAAGAAGCCTCTGGGGTAAACTCAAACATCAGGTCACCAGAGAATCCACTGCAAAGGCCTGAGGATCCTTGGTTCTAGCTTCAAATTTGTCAAATTAATTTTGAACCTAGAAGCCAAGACATCCATATCCAGTATTTTTCAACTGTGACAGAGACCTTGAAAAAAACTGCCAGGTGAGAGAATCATTCTCTGGAGTCCAGACTTCTTCACCACGTGCTCATTAGGAATATACACTCACCAGTGGACTTTGAAGACATTGTTACGAGAAGGTCAATCAGCGCTTTTGTTCCACTAAGTTGTACTCATGAGGAGGATCTCCAGATTTCCTTCATTCAGTTGTGTCAGTTAGGTACACTTAATAACAGACGAGGAAACATCCATTTAAACATATCTGCATAGGAAGCATATCTCAGGGATATGGAGCCAAATACCCATTTCCGAGCCTACAGTACGACCACCAATCCAGGACAGTCTCCTCCTACTTCATCTGTTACTGAGTGTACCTGAATGACAACTGAATGAAGGAAATCTGGAGATCCTCGTCATGAGTACAATTTTGGGGAACAAACGCGCTAATTGACCTTCTTGTAACAAAGGGGTCAAGATCCACTTGTGAGTGTTAATTCCTTAGGAGCACAAGTGCTGAAGAATTTGGGAGACTGATATCATCCTAATAAAGGACCCTTATAACACAGTGTGGTGTTGGGATATGCACTTTATTGGACGTTTTGGATACAATATTGTTTACTATTTAATTTTTAGATATTCAAAGTTTATTATGCCATATTAGCACCTATCAAATCCTACAAAATTGTTTGTTGGTGTTTACACTTAAAGGGGCTTAAGCAGGTAAAAGGTCTGGAGTTGATTCTAAGTGTGGTATTTGCATTTGGAATCTATTGCTGTAAACCTACCTCATGTGTTCAAAGAATCTGTCCATGCAAGTGAAATAGGCCATTGTAAGGCTTCAAAAATGAAACAAATCCATCAGAGAGATGGCAGCAACATTAGGAGTGGCCAAATCAACAATTTGGTACATTCTGAGAAAAGAAGAACGCACTGGTGAGCTAAGCAACATAAAAAGGCATGGAAGTCCATAAAAGACAACAGTGGTGGATGATCGAAGGATCCTCTCTATGGTAAAGAAAAACCCATTCACAACATCCACACAAGTGAAGGACACTCTCCAGGAGGTGGGCGTATCATTGTCAAAGTCTACAATCAAGAGAAGACTTCACAAGAGCAAATACAGAGGGTTCACCACAAGGTGCAAACCATTAATAAGCCTGAAGAATAGAAAAGCCAGATTAGACTTTGCAAAAAAACATCTAAAAAAGCCAGACCAGTTCTGGAAAAGCATACTTTGGATGGATGAAACTAAGATTAATCTGTACCAGAATGACAGGAAGAAAAAAGGTGTTGAGAAGGCTTGGAACAGCTCATGATCCAAAGCACACAACGTCATCTGTAAAACATGGTGGAGTCAGTGTGATGGCATGGGCATGCATGGCTTCCAGTGGCACTGGGTCATTGGTGTTGATTGATGATGTGACAGAAGTAGCTGGATGAATTCTGCAGTGTTTAGAGAGCTACGGTCAGCCCAGATTCAGCCAAATGCAGCAAGGTTGATTGGACGGCGCTTCACAGTACAGATGGACAATGATCCAAAACATACTGCAAAAGCAACCCAGGAGCTTTTGAAGGAAAAGAAGTGGAATATTCTGCAATGGCCGAATCAATCACCGCATCTCAACCCAATTGAGCATGCATTTCACTTGCTGAAGGCAAAACTAAAGGCAGAAAGACCCACAAAGAACAACTGAAGACAGATGCAGTTAGAGCCTGGCAAAGCATCAGAAAGGAGGAAAACCAGTCTTTGGTAATGTCCATGGGTTCCAGACGTCAAACAGTCATTGCCAGTAAAGGATTCTCAACAAAATATTAAAAATGAACATTTTATTTATAATTATATTCACTTGTCCAATTATTTTTGGTCCCTTGAAAAAGGGGGATGGCTACTCTTAAGAGCTTTAATTCCTAAACCCTTCCTCCTTATTAAACCTGAGATTGTGCACTTTCAGGCAATATCCATTATATAACTATAGCTTGAATATGTTTTGGTAAATACCTGAAAAAACTAAAATTGTGCCTGTGGTCAAATATATATGGACCTATCTGTAGGCTTCCATACACTTATGGTAGTTACACATCTATTTAGGAGGCACCAATATATTGGGTTATTTCAACTGAGAAAGTCCACCGGCTAAATGTTCCACACCTTGTATATGTGCATGGCGTTTAGAGCTGGAACAAGACAACACCTTTTCTCCAAGCGAGGGTCAGGTCCACTTATCCTTGAGCTGCATGTCTTCTGGTGCCCCACTGGCTGATGTAAGCCACAGTCATGTCTGAGTTCTGGTTGGGTTACCTTGCAGATAAGAGACCCAGCCTTTAAGGGACAAATCAACTACCCCAAGTTCCAGAATATTGACCATGAGCTGTGCCTCCTGCAACAAACAGGTCCCTTGCACATAGAGACCATGCAGGACACCCTCCTCAGCCCAAAAGGGAAGCATCTATTGTGAACACCCTCCAGAGAATCGGAAGAAGGGATTTCCCAGATACAAGAACCAGGTTTGAGATCAAGCATGCCAGGTCAAGCCTAGTCTTGCATGAGCCTGCTTGTCCCATGCTGGCATAATGTTGAGTTGCAATGATCTGGAGTAAAACAGGCCACTATCAGGTCAAAAACCCTCATGCAAAAGCAAACAGTTCGGTGGTTACTGGGTCTAAGCACAGAAGCAGATACATGAGCTTGTGTGAGGAAAAGAAGACCCTGTACAATACATAGTCAAGATTAGGTACATATTTTGCAACCAATGCATAAGATCCAGTGCTGTCTGAAGATTTAGGATCCATGCTAAACTGAGTCAACTGATACCTCAGCAGGAGATCATCCACAGCAGTATGAGGACAGGGGCAAGCACCTTGATGCCCACCTTGCACAATGGGCAGGGCAAAAGGAAAGGCAAACTATGAGCCAACAGCAAAACTTAAGTATCGTTGATGTCCCAGAAAGATGGGATGTGCAAATAAGCTTGCTTTATGTCCACAGAGGCCCGAAAAAAACTCCATTATACGAGGCAATGACTACCTGAGTAGATTCTACACCGAATGTTGAACACAAAGAAATTTGTTTAGAACATGTGGGTCCAGTGTGGGACGAATGTCTCCTTTTACCTTGGGAACTCTGAATAGGTTTGAGTAGAAACCCTTTTCCTGTTCCGAAACAGAAGTGATGGACTCTAAGAGAGTGCCTGAGAGCAATGTGAAGATCTGCCAGGATGTGGAGAAGCTGGCAAGTTCAATAGCATAAATCAGGGTGGAGGCACAGAAACTTTAGTCTGTAACCCCTGGATATGTTCTGCACCCAAATTCCAGTTTGCTAATGAATGCTTAAAAATAGTTACCCTAGAGTCTTTCAGAAGCCTAAATTCTAGTTATTCAGCTCTATGAATTTTCTAGCAAAGATGTTGGAGAGCAAAATTTAAAGTGCAAGTTCACCTTTTCACAAAAAAATTAAAAGGTGAAATACCACAGTACAACCTCCCCATCCACTTACCTTTGTGGATGATTAGCTTTCACTGCCGATGCAGCCAGTGCAGGGGTCCAGGAATTTGAAAACCACAGTCTTCTTTATCTTTTTTTCTTAGGAATTCCTGGACAGGTCAAAGTGATTCTGATCGGTCAAATGGTCACATGACTAATCAAAATCACTCTGATCCATCCTGTAATAACACCGTTACTTTCAAATTCCCAGTTCACCTTTCCATTTTTTGTGAAAATGTGAACTCACACTTTAAGCCTTTTTGGAGCTTTAGCTGGGCTGGTATTAACATCAACACTTACCATGCCAAATCTCTTGAAGTAGTCCCTCAGCTCAGCTTCACCACAATTGTGAGGGATTCCACCAACAAAAATCTTGTTAGATTTATTGCTTTCAGTTCTTGGGCTTTTTGGTTGCTGTACAAATGAAAACACAATCTGCTTTCACAAACTGGCATCTTCATGTGTTAAATGTTTTTATTTTGTTAAAATAAAAACTGAAATTCTGCTTTAAGATTTGGTCCTTACCCATCCATCTCGTGTTCTTGTTCTCTCTGGCTGCATTCCACGAGGAGTACATGGCTTTGGGTCAATCTAGAAAACAATACTGTTCTATGAATGCACAATCTAAAGAAAAGTAAATTCTCTAGTACTTTTTCTATTGATAAAAATATTTTTTTTGTTAATCAGTCATAAAAATATGGGCAGTCCCCTTGTGCAGCACCCATAGTTCACACATCTGACATGAACTGCTCCCTTTACTCCACACACACAAGTGCATCTGCCAGGGTGGAAACTATAGGTGCTACCATTGCAGAAATCAGCTTCTTAGATGTTTCCGGCTTCAATGCTTCTGGATCACTGACCTGGAACAAGAATTCAATGGGTGAAAGCCTCAATTTATTATCAGCACACTTGTTCCCGGGTCATCGATTCTAATTATTGATGCCAAAGCATCACGACATTCAGGCAGCCAACTTTATCAGAAGAGATCAGCATTTGTAGCCTACATGTTTGTCTTGTAATAATTTTCCTTTAAATACTGCCTGAATTAGTAAGAACAGATGTAGCGAATAAAGCAACCCTGGTTATGCAGCTCTCTTCATTACTGCAGAGTATGACCCATCTAAGGCAATAACAAAAAAAACAATACTTACATTCCTGCCATCCAATGTGTGAGGTCTGCTGGCTAAAACTGTTCCAACACAGTTGGGATCTTTAAATTTGACAAATCCAAAGCCTCTTGACTGATTAGTTGTTTTGTCTTTCATTATCACACAGTCTACGACTTCTCCATACTGGGAGAAATATGTGCGCAGGGTTTCTGTTTAAGGCATATACATACAGAAAGCATAAGAGATGAGTATGCAACATTACAAGAGTTGTAATATTTGTTGGCATGGCATACATTTTCCTACCGAGGTAGGATATTAATCAAATATTAACATAGCTTACACAAATTAAATGGTTTTTAAAGGTTTAGCTCCCTTTTACTTCAGTAGCAAATTTCAAAAAGCCACTAATTCACTGGGTGAAGCAGGAGTTTTCCTACGCAAAGTACAGTATGCTTTCTAAACAATAGTTATTTATCATTACAAATCCGAAAAACAAAACAGATTTTTAAGAAAATTATTTAAGAGAATAGGTGAAAGCACACAAAGTCCCTATATACAGAAGTATATAGAGTTCTACTGTGCATTTGGAATGAAGCAGGACCACAAGATGCAAACATTGTGGCCAGATTCATTGGTGATAAGTCAATTACTGTCATTGAAAACACATACCAGAAGATACATCTGCTATGAATGTATGGTGAATGTCAAATTAATTGCTCTATAAACATGTTCCTTGGTGTATATACATTTAATTAAAACTAAGCTATTATTCAAAACTATAATCGGAACGTAAAAGTCTGTAGGTACGTAGGAGATGGCATAGGCTTCATATTTGTGTAAAAAAAAAAAAGAAAGTAATCTGTATTTTAAAAGGAATGTCTGTGCTGCTCTGCACAGCAATACAATTTTATATCTGCCTTTGTTTCAGAACAAGCTATAAAATCAAAAAGATTTGTATCACATCGACATTAAGCACAGATTATGCAGTCAGAGGAAGATAAACATCCCCAGTGACAGACTGAAGCAACAGCAAGCAGAATCTGTAGGTAGACTAAAAAATACTCAAAATAATTTAATGCGGCAAACATCAAGCAGTAGCGCCTTACCCTGCGTTGTACTCCAATCAAGACCACCAACAAAAAGTTTTCTGGGGGGGAAAAAAAAAAAATTAGTAAAACATGGGGAATCCATACTTCATGGTTTTATTTCTTGATTATATTTTATTAAAGCTTTTCACACTTTTTCCTTAGAGAACAGAAATGCAAACGTTATGCCATAGACAGTCAAACAATGCAACAATCACATAAGTAAAATCATATGAAGTATAGCTATCACAAGTATGTGAACATGAACTGAACTAAAATAATTCAACCTTAGCATATGATAAACGTATACAAGTTACTTGTACAATGAATAGATGGGCGGCCTCAATGACAAACAAGGAGGCTTGGCAGGTGGCAAAGCCCAGACTCACAGCAGGTCTCAGCTACCAGGTGGGTCCAATGGAGGCAGATACTGGACATGCCTAAAGATATGCAGGCTAGCTATGAATAAGTAGAAACCCAAAATAGAACAGTCCTGGACCAAAGTGACAACTTTATCAGAGTGTGGAAGGATGACCAGTGACATGATCATTTTAGACAAGAACCACATGCATGCAAAGACAAAGGTAAGGCGAATAAGTATCACCAATAAAGCAGAACTCCAGTTAGCTAAAAACACACAGCTGAAATTCATAAACCATCACACTTGCATATGGATTTAGTATTTTACCATTTTCTTACCCACTGCTGTGAGATATACATGTCTGCCAAACCGCATAGCCGGAAATATTCCTGTACTCTGCTTAGGATTGTGGCACATTTACATTAATGAGGTAAATATGGTATGAATATTCCAGGTATGAATATTTTAAACATAGTTACATTGGTCCAGCCTGGACCAGGTGGCAAGACGGGGCAATAATTTTGTCATTACTACAAATAGAGCTGTGGCCAGATTATGAACTATAGAGTTATTAACTATGCTCAGCTTCACAACAAGCTACCCCTAACCTCTCCAGCTGCTTTTATTTTAATTTTAATTTCTTCTTAAAGATCCTCAAAGACTCTGGAGTCAGGTTTTAGGACTGGTTCAAACATGAGTTTTTATGTGGGTTATAAAAAGCACAAAACATGTGTCAAAAAATACATTAAATCCAATGAGGCTGTTCACTTCTGTCCGATGTGTTTGCAAAATGAGGCATATCCAATTTTCAGTGCATTTTCATGCTCTATGCAGCCACCGATATTGTGTGCAACTCTGACAAGCATATTCCTGCCTGTCAGGTGGAAGCATTCAGGTGGCTGGGCTACTATTGCTTCCACACAACTGTTGTAATGGTGCCCCTTGTCATGTATTCCAGGCTCCGCTTGCCCATCTGTGGGCCCGGAACCAACACAGTGGGTTCCGCCGGGTAGAGGGGAGAGTGTCCGTACAACTCTGCTTTTCGTTGTTGACCCAAAAAATTACGTGTATGACATCACATCCATGTGCCCCTGTCACTTTCCCCGGCTAGCATAGCCAGGAAGGAATGTATTGCAATGCGATCTGTGGAGCATATAGAAGACAAGTAGACATGCAGGGTCTTTTTCAACCCTGCAGGTCTCATTAAAGAGACTTTTTGTCCCCTATGTGTTGAATAAAAAAAATTTTTTTTTATTTAATTTGCAAAAAATGCAAGTTACACCAAAGTACATATAATCCCCCCCCCCCCCCCCCCCACATATATGCACGTACAAATGTAAACACCTGCATTGGTGATGCCTACTCATGCAAACGTTGATTGCAATACACACGCATACATATCACAGCGCAAGCCAATGGTGAAAGCAATAATTCTAGCACCAGGCCTCTTCCGTAATGCTAAATAGATGACCTATGAAGGGCTTTGAAGTGCCTACTAAAGAAAATATAGGGTACTGAATTTTGTAGCCATTTCACGGGTGCACACAAATTAAAGGTTTGAGATGTTGGGTATTTATTTACTCTGTGCAACGTTGTATTTTATGTTTTATCAAACGTTTGGGTAATTTATTGAGTGTGTTTGCCCTTTAGCATGTTTTTTACTGAAATTTTGCATTTGCTAGACCTTTGCGGTTATATCATTCGACATAAGAAATTGGAACTACCACTATTTTATTTTCTAGGGTTTCAGAAAATATATGCTTTGGGGGTTTTATGTAATCTTCAGGCCTAAAATGATTTTTTTAAACGTGTGCAAAAGTTCAAGAAATGGCTCTGGCAGCTAAAGGGTTAAACTGGTTGTAAAGGCATGACATTTTTTATAAATAAGTGTAGGGCGAAAAATAATGAGTATATAAATATATGTCCCTAAATATTTAAAATATATTAAGATTATATGCAAAAAATAAATCAATCGAAAAGTGACAGTCTGTGCAGGTCTAGGTGCAGAATGACAGTAAAATCCAGTATTGGTGCTCCAAATAGTGTGGTAGAATTACGCACTCACCAGATGCGTAATGTATATACGCATTAAATGAATCAGTAGAGGTGCCCTTTAGGAGTTGGATATGATCCTGGTCAAGGATAATCCTCCCTCTAGGCAAAGGTGGTGCTGTCAGGAGCTCACAGGAGGTAAAGGATCCAGCTGGCCAGAGGTCCCTTTAAGGGATGGATGGGTGTAGATGCCTCTTTCAGACACTCCCTTCTCTGGATACTGCAGATGGCTGGCTCAGGGGGGGCTCTACAAATGAATAGCTGCAGCCACGCTCTCTGCTCGGCCGCTGTCCACAGTTTCCCGGCTCGGAAGGAAATTCTCCCCTAACTCGGCAGTGCAGCCATCTTGGACATCCGGCTCGCTGATGTGTACATTCAATATATTTGGAGACAGGCGCAATCTGGGTTTTTCAGGTATTAACCAAAACATATTCAAGCTATAGTTATGTAATGGATATGGGTTGAAAGTGCACACTCTCAGGTTTAATTTGAGGGTATGTACATCCAAATTGGAGCAAGGGTTTAAGGATCACAGCTCTTAAAGAGTAGCCATTCCTCCTTTTTCAAGGGACCAAAAGTAATTGGACAATTGAATCAAAAGCTGTTTCATGGCCAGGTGTGGGCTACTCCTTCGTTATTTCTTCATCAATTAAGCAGGTAAAAGGTCTGGAGTTGATTCTAAGTGTGGTATTTGCATTTGGAATCTATTACTGTGAACCTACATCATGCGTTCAAAGGAGCGGTCTATGCAAGTGAAATAGGCCATTGTAAAGGCATCAAAAACAAAAATCCATCAGAGAGATAGCAGCAACATTAGGAGTGGCCAAATCAACAGTTTGGTACATTCTGAGGCAAGAAGAACGCACTGGTGAGCTCAGCAACACAAAAAAGCATGGACGTCCACGGAAGACAACAGTGGTGGATGATCGCAGGATCCGCTATATGGTAAAGAAAAACCCATTCACAACATCCACACAAGTGAAAGACGCTCTCCAGGAGGTGGGCGTATCAATGTCAAAGTCTACAATCAAGAGAAGACTTTACAAGAGCAAATACAGAGGGTTCACCACAAGCTGCAAACCATTCATAAGCCTGAAGAATAGAAAAGCCAGATTAGACTTTGCAAAAAAAAAAAACATCTAAAAAAAGCCATACCAGTTCTGGATGAAACTAAGATTAATCTGTACCAGAATGACAGGAAGAAAAAAGTGTGGAGAAGGCTTATAACAGCTCATGATCCAAAGCACACGTCATCTGTAAAACATGGTGGAGGCAGTGTGATGGCATGCGCATGCATGACTTCCAGTGGCACTGGGTCATTGGTGTTGATTGATATAACAGAAGCAGCCGGATGAATTCTGCAGTGTTTAGAGATATACTGTCAGCTCAGATTCAGCCAAATGCAGCAAAGTTACAGCAAAATTCAGCCAAATGAAGCACAGTACAGATGGACAGTGATCCAAAACATACTGCAAAAGCAACCCAGGAGCTTTTGAAGGAAAAGAAGTGGAATATTCTGCAATGGTCGAGTCAATCACCTCATCTCAACCCAATTAGTTTTGCCTTCAGCAAGTGAAATGCATGCTCAAAGGCAGAAAGACCCACGAACAAAGAACTGAAGACAGCTGCAGTTAAAGCCTGGCAAAGCATCAGAAAGTAGGAAACCCAGTCTTTAATTTTATTTATGTTTATATTCATTTGTCCAATTACATTTGAGCCCCTGAAAAATGGGGGATGGCTACTCTTAAGAGCTGTAATTCCTAAACCCTTCCTCCAATTTGGATGTACTGTACATACCCTCACATTCTATAGCTTGATGTATTGGTAAATACCTGATAAAAACTAAAATTGTACCTGTGCCCAAATATATATGAACCTAACTGTACATTTCCGCCCTACAATTGGTTCCTGAGGATGTCAATATCCGGCCCTGGCCGGGACTCAATGATCGTCTGCAAAGCTGAGAGGGGAGAGATCTTCATGTAAAGACAGATCTCTCTACTGTCAGCTTGGACGTGCTGCTTTCTATCTCTATGCACAGCAGAGAGATAGAAAGCAGCAGGTCTCCCTAGTAAAACAGCACACACTTTTCACAGTAAAAACACAAACAGCACACCATTAACCCTTTGATTGCCCCAGATATTAACCCCTTCCTGCCCAGCTTTTTATTGGCACTGATCACTGTATTAGTGAGATGTCAGTGGCAGTTATCAGCCAGTGTCAGAATGCCTGCCGTAGTCCTGCTATAAGTGGCCGATTGCCGCCATTACTAGTATATTAAAAAAAACTATATATATATATATATATATATATATATATATATATATATATATATATATATATATATATATATATCCCCCCATTTGTAGACACTATAAATTTCACGTAAACCAGTATATACTTATTGGGATTTTTTTTTTTTTTTTTTTTTTAGCAAAGACATGTGGCAGAGTACATTTTTGCCTACATTAGGTGAAGAAATTTTTTTTAAAATGTTTTTATTGGATGTGTTTTATAACAAAAAGTTTCTTTTGTTTTTTGTTTTTTTTTTTTTAAATGGTCAGTCTTTTTATTTACAGTGCAAAAAATAAAAACCGCAGAGGTGATCAAATATCACCAAAAGAAAGCTCTATTTGTGGGGAAAAAACATGACAAATTTAATTGCGTACAATGAGCAATTGTCAGTTAAAGTA